GTGTAGTAATCAGTTGAACTTCAGTTGCTTCATACATAGTGTGTGTAAGCTTTTCTCTTGCTAGTAGCAGATATGGGCCAATTAGTCCATTTATGCTGTAAGAGGTGGGGGATTTGATGTGATGGATGTCTAGTCAAATATATGTGGATTAAATGAGATAATTTGTTCTCATCAACCCGCATTGAGGTCTCAAGTAATTTTCCTAGACATAACTTTAAGTATTCTGCCTGACTTGAGTTGGTCCATATTAAATTGTTTAAATGACTTTGGCCATCAACAGCAGCAACATGGAGCAATACACATTTGTAACTTGATTGTCTCTATTTGTCACCTATCTAATCATAGCGTAGGTAAAGTCTGCGTTTAGAAAAACCTCAATGGCTGACAGTTTCCAAGGCAAATTTCTGCCTAGAAAGTTTAATTTCTAAATTTACACTGCAGGAGACTTTTCTTGATTACATCAGTAATTCAATATTGAGGATGCCCTTGACCTTAGATAAAAGCATAGAGAGGGAATATTATTTCAATTACAAGTACAGAAGTATCACAAGTGCTGCTTTTCTCAATAGAAGTTTGCATTGTGTTTATTACCTTCTACGATTCTAATCAATAATGAAAACACCAGAATGTATTTGGAATTAAAGCAACAGAACCATGGCAAGTTTAATACAAGCTATTCTTTGGTCTTCAATGAATGACTTGGATTTGGGTAGAAATGAAATTTATCCATTGAAACTCTTTTTGTGCCTTTTTTGCCTTATTCCCTTAATATGGTGGTCATGTTACTTCTAGTGACAGGTCAGTCCTATGAGAATATGGTGACTGAGATCATGTCAATGGGCTATGAACGAGAGCAAGTAATTGCAGCGCTGAGGGCTAGCTTCAACAATCCTGACAGAGCAGTGGAATACCTTTTAATGGTGAGCATTTTATTTTATCTACACCTTGTTTTTCACTTTATTTTGTCCTCAGTAGAAATTAATTTTAATTGTGATTTACTTGGTTGTTTTGGGTCTTGTCCAGTCAGTGAGAGTAATACATGTTCATAGAGAAATAACAACTCTAAACAGAGCATCTGGAAGTCAGAGATCTGGATTTTGAGGGTCATAGTGTGTTACAGGAAATACTGAAGTCATCCTTGTTTCTATCACTACTTTGCTTTTATTCTTTGTTGATCTGTATGGATATGCACTTGAAGTATGTCCAGTTACAGTGGCAGTTTCAATTGCCAGTGGCTGGATTAAGGAATGATTTCATCACATCTTGGTGACAGCCTTAGCTGTATTTTTGTATTAGGATCTATAATCTCACAAAGGTCTTTTTATGAAGTTCCAGTTCATTGTTTTTCCTAGTAATGCACAGTGTTCTTGATAATAGATTTTCCAAACAGAAAAGTTTGAGAGTTGTTTTGTGGGGTTTTTTTTTGGTTGTTTTTTTGGGTTGTTTTTTTTTTTTAAAGCATTCTTAATGTAACTGGTGTTTTAATTTAAGCAGTGTTTTGGAGAAGAAACAGTTTCTCATTTGGTAAATAGAGTTTGAAGGGTCAAATGAACTTCATTGGCATGAGAAGAAATAGAAAAGTAGCCTCACTTTAATGGAAATCTTGTTGGTTTAGGGGCGTTTTTGGATTACTTCTCATTGCATACCGTAACCTGACAGGTGTATTGTAACCACCAGAGAATCTGTCTGGGAAGTTGTTGCTTAATCAGTATTTCTGATGTCTTTAGTTTTTTCTGTAGCATACCATTTTTTCACTGATGTGCTTTTCTCTTGTTCTGGATCTGAACTTTATTAAACTTTTGAAGCCAGATACCTTGAACCAGTCCTTACAAAATATATGTGGATTGAATTTCTGATAGATTGATAAGAAAACTGGCATCTTTATCTCCAGTTATAAAACTTCCCTTTTGTTAATCAAATTTTTTTCAGCAGTTACAACTGCAAGTCACTGGCATGCTTGCTGCTTACATTAATGATCCCAAGAGTTTGTAATCTGCAGTTTTTAAACAGACAACAAATGTTTTGAGTACATGAATGTAAAAAGTTTGGTTCTTGTCTACTATTAAGCCAATTTAAGGTGATAAATATTGTCTTGCCATAAGAGCAAATGCAGTGGCTCCCATCTACCTGCTATTAGTCTGGAATATCAAGTGTCTGGAATATCAAATGTTTGGTTTTCATGCCTTAAAAACATTGATTTTACTGTTCATTTACTCTGTACGTATACCATAAATCCAGTGCTTCCTGTAAGTGTTGGGATCCCTTTGACAATCAGGTATAGTGTGCAGTAATTGTATACTCAGTCTGGCGTTTCCCTGCTCTACTTTATTTCCATGAGGAAGTCCTGAATAGAAATAGATCATTCCTATGATGGAGTTCAACACATGGAGCGTCTGCCAAATAGATTAAGTCTGACTGGTCTGAACAGTTCATTTCTACTCTTTCACTAGGTCTTGTGTTGAAAACGGGTCCTTCTGTTACATAAGCTGGTCCTTTTCTGTTTCACATTATATACTGGAAGTATCTTTCCCTTATTCTTCCTTTTCTTGATGGAAGAGGGAGTGAGGAGCGACAGTCTTGCTTTTAAGAGACCCTATTAGTTGGTAGACTTCTATTGTCCTTCTAGAAAAATCCTGTTACTGAAAAGTCTTTCAAACTGTTTGTGATCTGCTGGGTCTAAACATGTTCCTTCTGCATCAAAGAAGCTTTTCTTTGGTTAATGTTCATCCATTGATGACAGCGTTCTTTGACCATCTACTTTACCTACCTTCAAACCATCATCGGTGTTCTCTTCTCTACAATTTGCAGAGCAGGATTAGGGTGTTGAGAGCTCTAAGTGTATACCACTGTCCTAGTTTAAAGAATCAGTACACCAGAAGTACTTATAAAATGTTAGAAAGTAAACATCAGTAGAGTATCTCTACTTAACATGTAACTGTCTTTTAAATGAGATCTGAAAGATTCCACTTGTCCATGGTTCAGATTACAAGCTGTTCAGTTTTCCTGGCTTCATGGCTGATGATCTAGATGTAATCCTATGTCCTTGAGCAGTGGCCATGGCAGGAGGTCTTAATTCCAAAAGGCACCATTGCTTTTTGTGTGCCCCAGATTAATCTTTGGAGTCATTTGAATTCAGATCTCTTTTTGACCCAAGGATTTCCTAACCCTTAATTAAGAAGGAGTCCCGTCTTTCCTCTAACTAGGCTGTTGGTTGTAGCCTCTTAGTTTGGAAATTTTTAGGAAACATTTCTTTACTGTGAGGGTGCTCAAATACTGAACAGGCTTCCTAGAGAGGTGGTTGATGCCGTATGCCTGTTGATATTTGAAGCATTTGGACAATGACCTTAATAACATGCTTTAACTTTTGGTCAAGCCTGGAGTAGTCAAGCAGTTGGACTAGATGATCATTGTAGGTCCCTTCCAACTGGAACTATTCTGTTTTAAATGTGTACATTCTTTGTGCCAGGCCTGATGTGATAATTCCTCTGTAGAGAGCATTGTCAGCTAAAAACTCCTCTGGTGCTCAATTAAACAGTAAACAATTGTTTAATCCACCATAAGGTGCAAAAAATGGCCCATTTGCTGTCTGAGCAGTGTTTACATTCAAAATTAACTATATGTGAATTGTTATCGTTCTTTATTCTGTTGGATAGCTGTATAAGGAAGATGCATACACTTCACTGGTCTCATAAGATTACAGTTGCACGTATTGTTGCTTATTTGGAGAGTGAAACTTCAAGCTTGTATTTAAGGGTTAAGATACTGTTCAAGATGACAAATAATTTCAAAGTAAATTTGGTTGGACTAATTTCTATAATGCTTTCATTCAAGAGCAAATTTAAGGTTTAAACAAGCATATGTTTTTTGATCTGGGCACGGATCACAGTCTCAACGTATGCCTGTGAATAGGTGAAATCAACCAGTAATTTCCTAAGATTAATCTAAGTTTCTACATTATACTTAAATTCTCTGAAATTACTGATTTTATGAGAAAACGTGTTTAAGCAGTGCTCTGTAAGGCACTGGTAAGAGGGAGTTACCTCAGTTATGTCATGAATGGAATTTTCTTCCTGCTGTGAAGAGGAAATATGTAGCAAGCTGACCAAGCCGTATAATGGTAAGGAAGTGTCTGACAGGGAACACTTGCATTTATTCCTCTGAGATGCTTAAATGTAGACTTGATGATTAGGTGATTTTATACTTCTGATGCACTTCTTATCTCACAGGTAAAGCAAAGTTTTGCCTGGAGCACTGTCCATTTCTCCGTTTTTAGATTTAGCCTTTATATTAGCTTTGTATTTGTCTTTTTTTGTTCAGCTGTGGTGAAGAATACATTCTAGCAGGATTTTTAATCTACATTACGTACCAGTGATTTCTATGGTAGGCTTGCCAAACCCCTTCATTGTCTGGTTACACCGAAGTTCTATGATATATTTCCACCCACCCTGTTCCTTACGTTTTATGATTCCCAAACTGAAGGATGCCACCCTGAAGGTAGGTGAAATACATTGTTATACCAGTGCTGCTGCCTTCTCAGACTTAGCTGGATTTAATATGCTGGAAGACTGTAGAAACCAGAATTTTTTATTGTCATAGAAACTGAGTATTGTGAGGTAGAGGATCTTGTATCATCTTGCCGTTTTGGGGCTGAGTTTAACATAGCTCCCGCAACTATGATTCTGTGTGTACCAGGGGAATTACTGCTCTGTAGTCTGCCTGTTTTGCGTTCCCGTGAGGCAACTTCCTTTGCCTGTACCACCAGGATTCATAGTCAGTCTTTCTTGGTGTCTCGTCCATGCCAGACTGCCTAAATTTCTAGGCTTCAGGGAGGAGGATGGAAAGGACAACTCTGGTGCAGGACTTCATGGATAGCGGGGCAAGCATGGTTAGGGTATGAAGTTTGAAGGATTCCTGTGCAGGAGAAAGGTAATAGAGTAAGGTCTGTCTCTGTTGTATAACCCACATTCTAGTTTACTATAATTGTTCTTTTTCAGATTAGTCAGTTTCATTCTCTTGAGCAATTAGTTCCTGTATAAAGTTTGTTTGCAAATGGAAAATAAACAAAATGCAAGTTAACTTTTTTGAACTGCCACTGTTTGGTAACATATAGGCCATCACGCACTTAAGATATAGTAAATGAAATTTGTCTCACTGCTGTGTTGAGGAAAGAAGTCCAAATAGCTATGTTCTTACGTCCCTTCTTAATTACTTGCCAGATTGTATGGCATCTATAACCTCACCTTAGCATGGTGTACAACAATTCTGTTGCTGTAATGTAACTTTATTTGCATAAAGCTATAACATAGTAACAGTATATTTAGTTTAACTTTTTCACTTGTATCAAATATCTTAACAGGATGCAAAGCAGGTATTTACTTATGGACTAAAATGTGTTTTAAACTGATGAAGCGCATACTTTACTACCTCACTACACAAACTATGTTTTTCTTGTCAAAAAATAAGTTACTCTTTTCATGTTATTCTCTTTCAGTTGTAAATACATACCTATCACAGCATCTTGCTTTGTCTTTGCAGTGGAAGCATGAATGTGTTTTCCTTCATTCTTAAATTAAAAAAATTCATGCAGTAAAACAAGTATCTCAGCATTTTGTAGATAATTATGTGACCTGTGGCTTTAGGGCATACCTGGAGATAATCAGGCTGCGGCTGAACCCCCTCCAGCAGCAAGCAGTGGTGCCTCTCAGTCTTCAGCAGTGGCAGCAGCTGTAGCAACTATACCTACAACTACCAGTTCATTGGGAGGTAAGAAAGGTTCTGTTTGAGAGGATGTGATAAACACAGACACTTAAGCATTCTCTTCTTCAGGAATTTTTGTGTTCCTGGTGCTTGTGAACTGATCAGAGTGAATTGGATAAGAGCTGTAACATAGAAATTCCAAGTCTGGTACTTGCTTGGAATTAATGGCTTGTTATATGTGCATATATCTAGAATAAAGAATGAAGCTTCTAAAAATGCTGCGAACTTGCACAATTCCTTTGATTTAATATTCTGGATTTAAATGTAAGACCATAAATGTGGGGATAGTGTTTTTTCTCACTTTAAATTCTGGCTTCCTACTTCTATGGCTAATTACACTGTCAACTGACTCTACTAATGCATTTACTGCTTGGAAATTGGAATATTGAGGGATAAACCTCCAATAATGCCATGAGAGACTTATCCATGACCTAGGACTCTTCACTCAGCAGTGCAGCACATCGGCAGAGTGTTGGTGCCTGCTGAAGAGAATTGTCTTAAGGAAATACATGTATGAAAAGGAGCATATACAAGGAATAGGAAAAGTCTGTCTTAGGGTGTGGCAGAGATGGTGTTCAAGATACAAGGCAGTTTTAAACATACAGGAAGTAGTGACAAGCGCACATGACATCATCCATAAAGAGAGAATGTGGGAAATGAAGTATTTTGGACCACTTTAGACACTGCTGTGTTCAAGGCAGTACCTAGGTGTAGGATATATGGGAAGGCAAGGCTCACTTGAGAAGGCCAGAACTGATCTATTGCAAGAAGCAATAGATCTTGTAGGCATAAAGACAAAACAGTAAATTGGGTAGGTGCCTCTGAATGAGGTTACTCAGAGATGAAACACAAAAAGTGCTGGAGATAAAGGTCAGAAGGCTGGGTGAAAAAAAAATGCATTGTTTAATGTTAGTATAAAGAATTCTTGCTTAAAGCTAGAGTAAGTTAGTGTGAGGAAGTAAGCTTTTATATTGTTTAGTGAGAAGTATATTGCCCACTTTCATGTCTTGATTCTATCTACAGTTATGGTTTAGGTATGTGTTTTATTAAAAATCTGTAACTTTAAAACACAAGCTATTTCATTCACTTTTCAGGACATCCACTTGAGTTTTTACGAAATCAGCCTCAGTTCCAGCAGATGAGACAAATTATTCAGCAAAATCCTTCTCTGTTACCAGCATTGCTACAGCAGATTGGAAGGGAGAACCCTCAATTACTGCAGGTGAATCTTGAAACAACAAAATAACCCTGCAAATGTTCTATTGTTGGCTTTTCAGCAATTGTTGCTGTATAGAATGTGTCTTCTATGACATTAGAAATGGGTCTCAGTCCCTTTAGAAGAGATGCAGAGGGAAGAGTCACTGCAACTGAACTGAAACATGAAGTTGCATTTCTTACAGTTATATGTAATCACTTCTCTATGCACTTTTTACATATTCTTTTGACTACTTAATTCACTGAAAATAAATATTCTTATTTGCCTGTTGGCAGGCTTAAACATGTTTTATTTCAATATATTTATTTCCTTTATTCTCCCATGCATCACAGCAAATAAGCCAACACCAGGAACACTTTATTCATATGTTGAATGAGCCAGTCTTGGAGTCTCGCCAAGGTTTAGGTGGCAGTGATGATGGTGCCAGCACTGGAGGACTAGCAGAAGCTGGAAATGGTCACATGAACTACATTCAAGTAACACCTCAGGAAAAAGAAGCTATAGAAAGGGTGAGCCTTTTTTATTTGAAATGTTGCTTGACTGTTGCTGTAGGGTATGTGCCTTAACTTTTTGTGTATACTCAGTAGATCTACATAAGTTTTTACATTTTATATTTGATATTTCATAGCTGTTGTAGTCTTGTTTCAGATCGCATTTCTTCTTGCTTTATAGCAATTGAGTCTAAAATCTCTTGAATCTGTGTTACTGAGAAGCTGTAGAGCCTTTTAAGTGATCACAGCCTGTGATAATTGGTGATTGAATGGGTTTCCCTCAGGAATGGGAACTCAGGCAGTAATTTCTCTTGCGAAAGCCTCAGATGGTACTATTGTAGATTGTGCTGTGAAAGGCTTCCAGGTACAAAGGTGTGTCTGCATGAGCACTGTTTGTAAAGTACTTGGGTAGTAAGACCTCTCATAGTTAAGTAGATTAGTTGAAATCACTACTTAACCCAGTTATTCGTCTATCCATGAGATTTAGGTAATTACAGCTTTCTAAAAATGCAGGTAAACATGTCTATAAAAACATACTTGGAGGTGGTATATTACATGTACGAATACTGTAACACTGGCTAAATACAGATTTGCATAGATCGTAATGCCTCTGAGATTTTTCTTAGGACAAATTGCAACACCATACTTTGGTACTGGTTCTGTATATTAAAGACTGTTTTTCAAGTGCCAAAGCTAAAGGATATGTAAGGAAAGAAACCATTTTAGTATAGGTGTCAGTTCTCTAGATCTCTAGGAAATTGACAAATAATTAAATTAGTCTAATAAAACTGTCCATGTACTTCTTCACAGATCATCCTTTTTAGTCTGCTGTGTTTGCATTAAAACTATTTTATGCAGTAGAGTGTTGCCTCTACAGTCTGTTCAAAGGTTGTATGCTGCTTCAGCTTTCCATGAAAGACACACCTCAAAATTTAGGTGTCTTAGTATTACAGCTGACACATTCATGCTGTTTCTAAGTATGAAATTAAATCTGAGAAAGGTTAATAAGGGGTAATAGGACATTATTTCTTACAGAAATTTGATCTGACCTGCATGTAAAATGCCTTGCAGGTGCTGTGATGATTTTAAGAAAATCTCCAAATGGTTGCATCTATTTGCCTTTAGCTTAAAGATTGGCAGTTGGTTTGCTGAATGCCTTTAAGTGCAGGCTAAACCCATTTCCCTTGGCACAGTAATAAGCTCTTCTCTAGTATTCCTATTACAAATTGTCATTGTGTCCCAGACATAAGTAGTTCCTTGGCTTATAAAAACCAGATTGCTCTCACCTTACTTCTTAAAGCTTCAATGTGTAGCCAGTTTTATAGAAAGTCCAGTTGGAACAATTGAAAGTATGGCTTAATGTAATGTGTTGGGCTGCCTACTAGTAACCACAGGATGGGAGCTTTTTTCCCAGGCAATTTGTGTTAAAAATAGTGAGTTTCATATAATTAATATCTATAAATGGGCATTATTTGAAGTTTTTATTCTGCAGCAATGCAGCGTGCTGTTACTTCCTAACATTACTGTGACCCAAGTCTGTTTTAGTAACTTAACTGTGTCAGTGAAATGAGTGGTACATGTTATGTTGCTTCACTAGACTCATTCAAATCACTTTTTCAAGTGAAAATTCTGTTTACAGAGGCAACACCTTCTTATTCTTTGCTCACAAAAGGCCGCATGTATTGAGCTATGCAGCAATTTTTGTTTCAAGAAAGTAATAATTGCTAAAGTTGCATGTCAAGATAATAGACATATAAAAAAGCTTAATATACAAAATATATTTTCTAAATGTGTTTCTTTTCTTCAGTTAAAGGCATTAGGATTTCCCGAAGGACTTGTGATACAGGCGTATTTTGCTTGTGAGAAGAATGAAAACTTGGCTGCCAACTTTCTTCTACAACAGAACTTTGATGAAGATTGAGAGACATTTTCTTATTTCAGATCTCACACCAGTGCATTACACTAAATTTGCTCACTGGATTGTCTGGGATATTTGGGCTTACATTCATAATGCTTGGTGTATGGTATATGGGGAGGGGCAAAGAAGAAATATAGGCAGTAAAACAAAGAAAGCAGCAAGTATGTCTGCTTTAAATTAGCAGATGCAGAAAATAAAAAATAATATACAACCAAAAATCAGCTCCTGCAGACAATTAGTTCCTTCTCTAAACTGTAAGTTGACTTTTTTTAGGTGTTCACTCTTACTGTGTACTAGTTCCAGCAATGTAGTGTAATGCCCTGCTTCATGTTCCTTTCTACTTAGTATTGGTATGGGAAGTAGCCTGTGCTACTAGGTTCTACAATCTGTATTTCATGGCAACACTGGATAGCAGCTTTGTGAAATCTACAAGATTGAGCAAATGTAAACATGAATGCCAAAAGAATGGGTAGTTATTTTGCTTTTAAGATCTGTTAAAGCAGTGCAAGAAGCACAGTATTTCGCATAGTGCTGGATTAAAGTAATGTTGGCTTTTTCCCAAATGAAAACTCATTTCAATTAAAAGTGTCTTGATCACTGAGAAACACCATGCCCTTCTTTGCCCCTCTCAAATGATCTGAGAAGCTATATACATACAGGTAAAATTACTATCCTGTTTACATCTTTTCTTTTGCGGAATTACTATTCACCTCAATGTTACGTTGCAGTAAAAGTTTTCAAAACAAGTAATTGCATGTTTGGTTTTGTTATATGCACTCTTGTGAACTGAATATTCTTTTTTTTCTGCCAGCAGACAAAATGCAAGCTTCATTTTTGTTGAACCAGCTTTTACAATACAGCTGTAAGCATATGAAGATATTTGCATTCTGTTGCTCTTAAGTAGGTTGTAATGATCAAGCTATTTCTGTTCAGTAAGGACTTTCTTGGGTTTAGTCACTTTATGAGGAAGACAAGTTCATAACTTGAGGTATCAAGCGAACAGTCAAGCTATTCCAACCCCAAAAAATCTGCACTCATTAATACCTTTCATTGAAAATAAGCTCTAGTTACAGAGTTTTGAATCTTACTTCTTGATACCTAATTGTCATGTATTTTGTTTACTCATCATAAAATGTAAGAATCTTCCTTTTAATACATTGAATTTTGGAGACAATTTTGCCCATCATTGCAATGCTAACAGCAAAAACAAATTCTAATTTAATCTAAATCTATTATCTGCAATATTTCTTAAACACAGCTTGGGGATATTTTGTGGTTTTACTGTTGTATTCCAGTTATCTGGATTACAAATTTATCTCTACAGTAACCACGAAAGTATTAGTGGTACAGCACAGACATGTTGTACCACTAATGATATTAACCATTTAGTGGTATAACTAAATAATTATTTTCTGCTTAGGTTATGTATCAGTGGATTAACTACTTCTCTACTACTTATGCTCAAAGTACAAGTCCAAGTGTCTTGAGAAGAGAAAATGAGAAATGCTGAAATGTTTGTATTTGTTTCTTCATTGTTGTCTGTAGTCTGTTAAATAATTATCTGCACAAAATAGTGAAATGTATTAAAGCCTTTTACTTTCTCTTTCTATCCTTAGACGTTTGTGATGTTTTTTTCTAGATAGTGTTTCAATAATTCAGATTTTCTTCTTTTAAAATTTCATAGGTGTATAATCTCTAAGTAATCAGTAGCACAACCCAAATCTATCAGTAGGAGGTGTCATATCGCTAGATAGAAAATTAAGTCTTTCATAATGCTTTCATTTTAGAGAAGTTAACATTAATACCTGAATCAACCAGTAGATTTCTGCTAAATAGGATTCTAATTATATTTATGGACTGGGAGATGACTTGGTTTAATACTCACCAGGCAAAAAGGGATTATATGTTACATGCAAAAGGACCAACTGCCAGGTACTTGAAGAATGCCAAATTGATACAAGGACTTCTTGAATGTACTTTATTTACTACATAGCTAATATCTAAGCAAAAGTTTTTTTGTTTGTGGGAGTCTTCTGTGCTGATCAAATTGCTATCAGAAAAAAATATTCCTTCTCTAGAAGTGTGGAGAGTAAAGCAAGAATGTCTGTGGGTGTTTCAGTCCACTCCCTCCAATTTTGATTCTGAATTGTATTTGAATTAAAGACTGTTGAGCTTGTTCTTTGTAAAAATGCTAGTAGCTTCGGTGATTTGTAACTTTGTATGCTGAATGACTGAAGGGTTTATAGCTGCTGTGGTTGAAGCCTTGCTAGTAATTCTGTTCCCATTTTTCAGCAGCGAAATGATGTTTATGCAACTTCTGATGAACAACAGGTGTCTAAACTTATATGCTAGCAAAAACTGTTCAATCTGTTCGATAGTGGGATACTTGCCAGGGAGAGTGATTTATCTCTTTGTAGTTGCTGCCAAAGGGAAGAATATATGGCACTTGTATGGTGTTGAGAAGGTGCAATCTGAACGAGTTGCCTAGATATGCTGTGCCTTGTTTTCTACCAGGTACTACTAGGAATTGTCAGCACAGACTGCTTTTCAGCTTCTTTACTGCAGATCTCTTAAGGATTTGGGGAGCAGTTTCCTCAGGGCTTTGGAAACAGTAGCTAAAAAAATAAAGTATTTCTTCTGAAGTTTTGGTACTGGAGGCCTTACCTTTCTTGTAAACCTTCTAAATATCTGCTTCAGTGAAAAGCTATTAATCATGCATTTTTAATTGCATCATGAATTTAAAAAAGTTACACTGAGGTCGTAGTAATTCTGTAGCTGCCTGTTCTTATATCCTGTACACAGCTCCATTTTAATAGTACGGTTCATTAATCCTTGTCCAGGATCCTCTTATGAATCTAACTAAAACCCAAGCAATTGGGTTGATGATGTGCTTTATTCTTACCACAGTAAGAGAACCTTTTTGGAATGTGAGATAACCACTTATAAAATCACACTGTGGCTCTGATTTTGAAGTGTCAGATTGAGCTTTCCTTCAAGAACACACATGAATGAGTGAAACTGGGAGACACAAAGCCAAGTCCTCAATAGCAAGCAGATCTGTCACCTGTGTTTACACTGGGTAGCTTAGTTTGTTTTACCGATGTTTAGTGGCAGGCATGTTAATGTTTGTATTTTCTTACTGTTTTCTTTCAAACCCAGCTTTGTTTGTGCTCAAAACTAACCTAGAGTTTCTGCACTTCAAAATACTACATTATTCAATGGAAACAATAAGGTGGGAGTGAAGAGAGAACAATTTTATCAGTAACATTTTCAGTTCTTCCTTGCCTGGTTTGGCATGTGAACAAACTGTTCAACATACTATCTTTTGAAGTATGTAATTTTAAAACTACAGCTATGTGGTTATGAAGCCACGAAGTATAAAATTTTGTGACTTCACTGAACTATCCAGAAAAGTAGGCTTATTCCACCTGTGATGAAGTGATGTGCAGGAATAATTTGATTAGTAAATTGCCACAAAATACATGATTAATCAGTATCTCTGATGGTTGGAGTTTATGGCCATGGAGTTTGCAGCAAACTGTAGCTGATGCTACCGACTTCTAATTGCCAGGTGCCAGTGCTGTATTTATACCATAACATATGACCTGTGAGTTAAAAAAGGATGTTCACCTTCTTGGTTCTTGTTAGCACTCAGTGCCTTTCCTTCATCCGGATAGGGAGAAATACTTGCTGGCTAGGCAAGAAAAATAATTACACAATTTCACTTCAGTTCAATCAAAGCACATTTTATGAAGACACAAGCATCTGTGGTGCTTCCTGTCCAGACTGCAATGAAATTAATAAAGACAGATGCATATTCATCAGTAATTGTAGCAGTCTGGAAAAATAGTAGTAGACTCTGAAGATACTTATTGCCACATCATCTGTTGCTTTGGCATTTTCCTCGGGGAACTTACAGACAGGGTCTGGTATATGCTTTGTTTACTGAGAGGCTAATGCTAAAAACAGTACTAAAGTGAAAGATTTGTGTCTTATGTATCCATGCAGCTGTGCCTAGAGACCCAGAATGCAAGTTTTGTGCTTTCAAAATAGGTACCCTTCTATTTTGATATGGCTTGACACATTAATATGAGTACTGTGTGCTGCAGAGGGCAAGGAGCAACATCCTTGAAATTCTTATTGCTTGAGATAGGGATTTTAGATGTAATAGACTAGGAGTAACCAGATACTCAGATATTCCAACAGGCAGCTCCGTTTGCCATCCCAGGGGAAGGGTTCATTGCTGTCCTTGTGAAGTATTTGGCTCTGAATGTGCAGCAACTAAGGATGAGAAAATGGGGCAATGTCTCCCAAGTGTCTGTGTGGCTGTATCTGTAGAATTGGTCAAAATCTTGTAAATTCAGATACGTATTTTTAATTTATCTATAATGAAATGGTTAGTCTGGGCGGGATATGAAACAAAACAGTGAGTGCTGAGTACTTGGGATAGAGATCTTCTCTACAGGGAGGTGAGGCTGAAGCACAGAGTCTACACCTCGGAGAGGCGGTAGTGTTTGTGAACGGGCATGCCTGAAAGGATTACACAGTATGGTGCAGGTTGAGAGGAATGAAATGGTGTGGTGGGATCAAATGGAGAGTCAGCTAATGGTGGGACTCTGTGTGCAAACAAATGAGTTAGCTTGATAGAGATGTTAGGAACAGATTAACATTTACATTCACAGAATCACAGAATGCTTGAGGCTGGAAGGGACCACCGGAGGTCATCTAGTCCAACCTCCCTGATCAGTCAGGATCACCTAGAGCATGTTACTCAGGATTGTGTCCAGACAACTCTTATCTCCAGGGAAGGAGACTCCACAGCGTCTCTGGGCAGCCTATTCCAATGCTTAGTCACCATCACAGTAGAGAAGTTATTCCTCATGTTCAGGTGAAACTTCCTGTGACTTAGTTTACACTTATTGCCTTTTGTCCTATCACCTTGGCACCACCGAGAAGAGTCTGGCCCCATCCTCCTGAGAGCCTCCATTCGGTTACACACATTGATAAGATCCCCTCCCGAGCCTTCTTTAGGCTGAACAAGCACAGCTCCCTCAGCCTTTCCTCGTGAGAGATCCTTAATGATTCTAGTAGGTCTTCCCTGGACTTGCTCCAGGAGCTCCATATCTCTCATACTGGGGAGCCCAGAACGGGACACAGTACTCAGGTGAGGCCTCACCAGGACAGAGCAGAGAGGAAGGATCGCTTCCCTCAACCTGCTGGCAGCCCAGGATACCACTGGCCTTCTTGGCCACAAGGGTACGTAGCTGCCAGCTAATGGACATAGCTTGCTGTTCATCAGGAGCCTCGGGTCCCTCTCCACAGAGCTGCTTCCCAGCAGGT